AGCCATTGTGATTGGTTCTGGTGCAACTTCTACTATCGGCACTTGCTCAATCACTTGGGGTTGAGGTTGCTGATTCCTATTCGCATTTCCAGCTCCACTACGGGTTCTTGTCATTTTGATCTATATACCAAATTAGGCAAATTTAGATATTTATTCACGATAGATATTTAAATTCTCCTTATCACTCCGAAATGTTACATGCTAGTTCTAATACGTAGTCATACACTTAGAATCCTGAACACATAAGGTTTCCAGATCTGGTTAGCAACAGACCATAGATCCGCACAAATAATAACATATATGGCAAACATATAACATTTAGCACATAAAAGAATTTTAGGCATCTTTCTTAAAATATACCAGTGCTTGTGTCTAAAATATGGTAGACACTCATCTCACGATCATCACTTAGCATTCTGAATTTAAGTCTATAAATCCTACAAATTCCTAGTTCGCTTAAACTAATGCTCTGATACCAACTATGACATCCCCATTTTTACGGCCAGAAAAGACCAATTTCATTTATGCTTTTATAATAAAATCAGAGTAATCTTTCAAAGAAAGTGTTGCGGAATTAGTTCCCATAACAAAATATGATAAAATTTATCAAAGCATTTCTTAAAGAAGTGTATTTTCGTTTCATTACAAACTTGGGATGTCAAAATCAATACAGATAAAAAACATAAACAGTATAATATAGTTCTTACAACATTTATTTACATCTATTGGCCTATAATCCAAAATCCCTCCTCCAGTCATCCAATTATGCTCTTGTTCCACTACTTGTAATACATAAAGCTGAGTGGGTCAGGCTTGTGAGCCTGGTGAGCACATTGGGTTTTCAACCCATAATAAATAAGTTTATGAATTTCATCAACCAACAATAAACCTAATTAACCATTCCCGTTATCCTTACTTTACGTCTTTAAACACCTATCATAAGGGATCTAGCCTAGGGATCATCATCGGGATGAACACTATTGCTAATCCTCATCCATATATGTCTGTAAGGCAACCATGAGGGGGATGGAGTACACCGGTGAATACATCGCTCACAATCACCTGCAGATTTTGAGCATGCTAGTGTTCCAATGGACTGTCTAGAAAAGTCTATGGTCGTCATCTATACTCCGCCAGATGACTGTAACATCGTCAACTTCGATGCCTCTCATCATTTTATTTCATCACACATCAACTATTTCATCTACCCATGTTTTACCCAACATATTTGTAGATAAAAATACATATACAATTTAAATCATTCTAAACATATATAAAACATTCATTCAACATACATCTCAAATAAACAAACAATATATATATATATATATATATATATATATATATATATACATAACACGTATTTTATATAAAATACTTCATATCTATGTGTAAAATAAAAGTGACTATATACACACCTGATAAGATGGTGATTGGACAACACTTCGTTCCTTAAAACATTTTTTTTTATGAAACCGGGAGGTTTGCACAAAAATCGGGCTCTTCACTGGCAGAGTTTTGACTCGAAAAACTCTTTATCTCGGAGACTTCGGACTCTCAGGGGCTTTATTCTAGTGCTAGGAAGGTTCCCTAGGCTTCGGGGGGTTTAGTGTAGCTTAAGAGAGAGTAGAGAGTGAAAGAGATTTGAAAATTGTAAAAGAAATCGGGCAGCCTCACACCCATTTTATAGGTGGCCGAAGCCTCTCATTACGTTGGGCGTAACTTTGGTACGCAAGGTGTACCCTCGTACGCTGCGTGTAGAAGCTATGTGTTCTCTGATCGGTTTCTGAGCTTTGGATGTGTGCAAGCTACACACACGCGTCTACCATGCGAAGGAATATAGGGATGTGGCCAACTCCAAACCATGCTTCCGAGTATGCGGGGCGTACTCCCTCGAATTTTGTTTTTCAAACTTAAACAAATCATAACTTTCGCATACAAGCTCTGTTTTTTATGTTCTTTATATCCACGCGTAGGTGAGACCGTGCTCTACAACTTTCGTTTAGACTCCGTCGGCTAATTTTGAATTTATTTTTAAAGTTATATTTTTAACATGTCGGGACAGGAAAAATCTGTTAAAATTTTGTAACTTCTTCATTCGACGTCCGTTTTTGTATGTATTTTTACTGTTGAACTACTATCAACGAGATATTCGATTCTCGTTTAGGTTGTGTTGGCTAAAAATCGCTCGATCTATAATTCGAATTTCGGGCTACACATTGTTGTGACAAATCTTAAAAAATTCATAACTTCTTCATATGAAGTCAGATTTTGACGTTCTTTTTTATGCACGCTCTCGGTTTAACGTATACTATGACTTTCATTTAGATTGCTAAGGCTAAAAAACACTTTATCATACACTCATTTTTTACATCACACAGTGTCGTGCCGGTTCTGTCGCGAAACTTCGACATATCATAACTTATTCGTTATAACTCGGATTTCTGCGTTCTTTAGATTTCCGGAACCCTTGTTACGACCACTACGAATTTCTTCATAGATATCGGGTTTATCTAACATTTTATTTTTGACGCTTATTTTTATCCTTAATTTGTTATATTATCATAATACTCAAATAATTCATTTTTTTATTTCAAAACGAGTTACAATGGTTGATCTACACTATTAATCATCATTAATGTTTAGCCCAGAAACGCGAACGTTACACTATAGTCGTGGTAACCATTACAGATGGCGTAAGTGTAATGCTATTAGATGGAAAAGATCAAATTATAAATATAGAAAACTCTTTCAGTAAGGGTAACAATTTATGACACGCCATGAAACGAAATTGGGACGAAATGGAAATTCAAATTAGTGTTCGTGTCAAGTGTAAAAAAATATGACGTCGTATCATATCGTGTTTGTGTACAAAATTTGACACAAAATTACCACGATTTAACATTAGTTTGTCGTGTTATGTATCATTAAGTATTAATTAAATATATATTGTTATTTTAAGTTATTATCGTGTCGTGTTGTGTTTTTCATTTTTAATTGGTACGCTGTTGTATTAGTTAAAAAAACACAATATCATATCGTTTCATGTTACATAAAATATTTTTGAGTTGAACAAAAACACGATAAATTGCCTGTTTGTCACCTCTACTTTTTTGTCACTATTAATAGTGAAATCAAATATATATATATTTTTTTTCTTTTTGCCATATTCCTATACATTTAATTGTGGTATTTGTCATATTCAAAAAAATTAATAAAATTTTATTAATATTTAATTTCTCCTACACGCTTTTCCAAATATTAGGCCATGGGTGATTAACTACGTCTACTACCCATACTTTTGAAACTCAGTGTTGTCTCCTTTCGATCTAAAGCATGATTCAGCTTAAATACGTCGTTTTATATTATGTCGACCCATATATACTTATGAAACTCAATGTTGTCTCCTTTCGATCTAAAGCATGATTCAGCTTAAAAACGTCGTTTTATATTATGTCGTCTGGTAAAAAACTGTAGTTCTATTAAAATGCGAGGTTAGGTACATAGGTTCGTCTTGTATCATGTCATGTTGTTCTAAAATGAATTATATAGTAAAATCGAAATTAGGAATTTGGATTAATTAATAATTAAAAGCCATGTGACATTACATTGTCCATCTGAAATTGGAGGCTCGCCTGTCGAGAACATCATGTGGCCATGCACATTCATGGCAATATGCTCCATTTAACCAAATATATTCTTTTCGCATTTTTTCATTATAAGCCTTTTACATAAAATAATTCAGTCATAATCAAATGATATTTAATCCACCAGTGGTTTACCTAAGGAATTGTTCTAAATTAAATCATCACATTTTTTATTGTCCAATTATTCGCTTTCCTGATAAAAATACCAAGGACAAAATATATAAATCCAAAATATGTAGCTCCTTACAGAATATTGTGTCATTGTGTGAGACCATAAGGCACACACAAAATAAAGCAAATCTAGATTTTTATTGAAGACATTTAATGAAATACCAAGTGTTCACTACTTGAAAATTTAGAGGTAAAAAGACAAAAAAGAAGTAACTTTTCTTAATATTTTTACAAGAAATAACAAAAAATTAATAAAAATCCCCTCATTAACTGCCCATTTTCTAGGACGCACTGTTGGGAGAGCATCAATGTCAAAATCAAGACTGTTTTACCATCGGCACCACGAACTGAGGACTCTATGAAATGGTCAAAAGTCAAAACGATTTAAAAACAACACATTTAAAGATGCATTTCGACTGAAAAATGCACTATTCAGTATAAAATTGTTTGGTACTACAAAAATGTTTTTTTTTATCAAGAATACACTTTTAGTATTTTCTTTTCTTCGCAGGGATTTTCATATACCACTTTCACACCAAAAGGAAACTACATATTGTGAAAACCAAGTCTTAGGTTTGAGAAAAGTTTTTATTTAAAAATCGATATAAAAATGAGGAAAATAAAAAAAATTAACTTTAAATATGCGAGAACAATTTCCGCCTATTTTCATTGTTCAGGCCCATTTTATGGTGTTCATGTTTGTTACCCATAGGTCTCTACGAAATGAGTGGATATTTTCGGAAAGACCTTGGTATTTAGTCATTTTCTTTTCTAAAAACTTTAAGGAAAAAGTAAAGATGTTGGTTATTTTCGGAAAGGCGCGTTGAGTTTCAAACTTTCAATTTGAGAAAACTTAGAAAACAATGAGAAAATGTAAAACTAAAAAATTAAATATCCTTTTATATTTTATTCTTAATTATTTAAAAAAAAAATTGTGTAAAGAGGGTTTTATGCCATAATTTCAGTGTATTAAATTAAAACCGAGGGAACGTGTTTATTTAATTGTAGGTTGACTTGGTTTGACCTGTAATTTTGGGAATTTTCCGTTAAGCTTGGCAATTGGCATTTCAAGTCTGACCTTCTTCCCTTCTCACCACTCCGCCATTCATATATACTCCCACTTTCGATCTCCTTCAAAACACAAACAAGAAGAAGAAGAAGAAGAAACGGATCATATCAGACATGGAAACGCCTACTAAACGACCTCTTCTCAAAACCATCTCCAGCAACTCCTTCCGCCTCCGTTCCCCCAGTCTCAATTCCGTACGCCTCCGCCGTATCTTCGATCTATACGACACCAATCACGACTCCTTCATCACCATCGACGAGATCAGTCGCGCCTTGACGCTCCTCGGCCTCGACGCCGACAAGTCCGATTTAGATTCCATGATCAAATCATACATCCATCCGGGCAACGCCGGCCTCACATACAACGACTTCGTGAGCTTGCACAGCTCCATAAACGACTTGTTGTTCGGCCTTGAGGATGTACAAAAACCGGTGGCCACCAAGGAGGAGCAAGAGGAGTCGGATCTAAAGGAGGCTTTTAAGGTATTTGACGAAAATGGAGATGGATTTATATCGGCGAAGGAATTACAGATGGTGCTTGGGAAGCTAGGGTTTACGGAGGCTACTGAGATGGAGAGAGTGAAGATGATGATCTCGTCGGTTGACCTCAACCACGATGGCAAAGTTGACTTTTCCGAGTTCAGGGACATGATGAGGGTCCTTGATCAATAGTTCATGTATGTTTCTACCTGGAAATAATATGCAGAGTTTTTTTTTTTTTTTTTTTTTTTTTTTTTTTTTTTTTTTTAATAGATTACCCAATATTTGCATTTATCATTTTATCCTGCATTCTATTTCCCCCCTTTTTTGTACAAAAAATTGGGAGAAAACATATATTATAAATTCTGCAAGATGACGATCAATTTCTCTTCCAATGGTTCCATATAAAGACGTGTACATTTGTTTATGTATATTGTCATAATCACAAGTTCACTTAAGAGATAAAGTAACATATCAATGATATATTATAACTTTTATTTAAAGTTAATTGATTATGGCTTGACACGAGGATAATGTCATAGAAAATCTTATGTTTGACCGAAAATATCGGTTTTACCCTCCGATGGATTTTTGATTTGGTTATGCGCCAGACAGTTTTGCCTTTTTTACTTGTAATAATAGGTTTTCAGGAAACATTATTTGTGAAAAAACCCTTTAAGATTACAAAAAAAAAAAGGATTTTCGAATTTGTAATGATGAACACAAAGTGACATCGCTTCCTATAAAGTCCGAATGGAATAAGATCCTACTTAGTAAGGTTAATATATTTCGATAGAGAGTTGTCTTTAACCGTTTTCTTACCATAACAAACTTGTATAATTGTGGTATTGACATTATTTGTTCCTTATGTCCGATTTATAACAACTCTAAAGAAAGATACCCAACATGTGCTCATGAGGTATTAAACGACGTCCCAAATTCTTCTTAAGATAAGTTGTTGGTGTGATATAAGTTTGTTCAATCTTATTATTATCTGTGATTTACATGGTTGTTTGAATTTATTTTATATATCCATGACTTGTAAAACAGTTTTGGAGGTGATCATAGTCACTATGGAGGGTGATATTATTTCTATGCAATTTTTTTAAAGAAAAATAAAAATATTTTATATGTTTAAAAGAAATATATCATATTATTTTTATAAAAATAAATATAGTTGTATAAGTTATTATTTTTGAAATACAAACATAAACCTTTTAAACATATAAAATATAAATATATTTGTCTAAGTTATTATACAAATATATTTATGTTTATAAAAAGAGAAATTAAATATTCTCTTATTTTCCTTACTACATATCTTTCTATCAATTTGAAATGATGACAAATGTATTAAAATATTATTAATTTTATCCAAATATAACACATGTACACCCCGTTTCCGAGTTCAACTTAACTAGAGAAAAGAAGGGAAATAGATGAAAATGAAAAGAAAATAAAAGAAATTGGTGTTCCTGAGTTTCATTAAAGGAAGAAAATTGGATGAATCGAAGAGAAACAGAACGAATCAGAGAGAAATAGAATGATCACTTTCCCTCCTAAGTTTCCTTCCTATTTGGAATGATTTGGAAATAAAAAACAAAATAATTAACTTTCCTTTTATTTATCTCCAACTGGTGAACACAAAAGAAAATTTAAATTTCCTTTTATTTCTCTTCTTTTTTCTTATTACTTTATTTTCTCTTCTTTTCTTTTATTAGTTTAAACTCGGGAACTAGGTGGTAATGAAAATAAATAGGAAGAATATAGGAGGATTTTAAATTTCTCTTATAATAAATACGATCCGTGATTATTTATGAAATACAAAACTTTTAAACGTATAAAATATTTTTATTTTCCTTTTAAAGAAAATAAATTGAATGTAATTAATGCCATATTATTCACATGTTAAATTATTTTATTATAATTAATTTATTAACTAACAACAGTTTTTTTAATTTTGATTTGAAAAATTTTAAGTATTAATTAAGGAATATATATATATATATATATATATATATATATATATATATATATATATATAGAGAGAGAGAGAGAGAGAGAGAGAGAGAGAGAGAGATGGGCTTAAGGAATATGTGGCTGTCATGTACCTAAGCTTATATATGGAAACCTCAAAACAATGTAGTTTTTACTCATTTATATCAAAACTAATCATTATATATATCTTTTACTATTCTTTCTTAATCATGTAACTTACTAAATCGATCAAATTTATGTTCTTTTGTTTCATTGTGTCTAAGAACTTAAAGTATTAAAAGTTGTGACCATTCAATCAACCTTACTAAATTCTAAATGAAAACTAATAGAATAAAAGATAAAAGAAAAATATTTCATAACTCAATCAAGGTTTCATAAAATAATTGGATATAACTTTTTTCAATTAAAAGACAAAACACTTGAGCTATATTCGTTAAAAAATATTGATTTTTTATCTTCTCTATAAACTTCAATAATTATTTGCAATAAAATTATATATAATTGATCTTTTTCATTGCATAATTGTACTTAATTCAATGATATTCTATTAAAACAAAACTAAGAGAAAATGAAATTGAATTTGTTTTGTTTAAAACTATGTCGTTTAAAAGGTTCTATACCTAAGTTTAGGTACCTAACAACCACATATTCACTTTTCCATATATATTCGTTTGATATTTAAATTTTAAAAAATCATTTAGTTTTATCAAATTTTAAATATATATTTATATTTTATATGTTTACAATCTTAAGAGTTTTTTTGTAAAATATTTGTAAACTTAAAGGTTTTTTTCCAAACAATATTTCATGGTAAATTGGAAACCTGTTATTACAAGTAAAAGGAATAAAACCAACAAAAACTAAAAATCTATCAGAGGGTAAAGTCGATATTTTCGATCAAACTTAAGGTTTTTTATGACATTAACCAGAGTTGAAAAATATAAGTATTAATTAAGGATTAGAATTTAGTTTATCAGTCTGGATATCCCTATTTCTCTAGCATAAAAACAAAGTAAACTTTTTGTTAGCATTTACTACTATATATTTATAGTAAACGATATGGATATATGAGTAAAATAACAATTTTCGGTTAATTAAATCAAGTATCATGAAAGTCAAAGTTAATAATGAATACGCTGCTAGCAATTAAATTGCAACATCTATATGCAAGAAAAAGGTACTGGTATCTAATCAGTAGGAACATGACTTATTTACAAAAAGGTTTTAGAATTGTCTCAACCGTGTCGACATACCATCCAATCTCTAAAGAAATGAGTGAAAGGACTAGCACAAATGAACAAATAGCGTTTATCATTTTGTCAGACTCTGGAATCTACATGAGTGCCAATAAGGGGTTCAAATTGTGATGTAACGCAAATCTTGTGGAAACAATATATTTATACATGGTACCATTCTCCGTGGTGACATAAATCGTTCTCAAACACTACGAAACTTTTGAAATCTTTGCAATATTGAACTAAAAAATAATTGTTTTGAAAATGGTAATGTAGCTTTTAATGCTTATAAGGTCTTTGATATTACTTATCAAAATGACTTTTTAAACTTTTTGATTTTTTTCAAATAGTCAAAAGTTTGAGAATAACTTTTTAAACTTTTACTTTTTCAAAAAGCTAGGAGTTTGAAGGTCCTTGGCAAATTTAAAAGTTATTTTTAAAAAAAACTTTTTGATAAGAAGAAAAAAATTGTTTTAAAAGTCATGATTTTGTGACTTTTGGCTTTTTAACCTTTATTTCCTTAAAAGTTAATCTAAACACATTTTTTTTTTTGGAATAAATCAAAGAGTCATTTTGTTAAAAATGACATTTTAAACAAAAAAACAATCACAAACACCCCCTTAGGCATTTGTTTTTTTCGATAAGATCTTCATCTCCTTTTGTTGTCTTATAGTGTGTAGACGTTTCTTCTAGCAAACTTTTTGTTTTTTAGTAAACCACATACTTAAAAGGTATGTGCATCATCTTTTGTTGCAGACCAATATTCACCTGTTTGCAAATTTGCGGATGTCTTCTTGGTAAAATAAAAAAGATTAAATTTTGTTCATATTGTTACAAATTTTAAATATTACTTTTATGTCCTTACAAAATTTGAAATTATATATACGCCTGCCTAAAACTATAAATTTGCATGTATAAAAACATGTTAATAAATAGACAAAAATCATAAAACTACATTATTTAATATAAATATTAACATTAAATAAATTTAGGAAAAACAAACTTGTGATACCAATATCAATTCAAATTGATTGATGTTATTAACTTTATTGATCAAACAACTTGTAACATCATAATGTTTTTATATCTTTTTTTTTTCATTTCAAAATAAGAGTAATCATTTCAAAATTATTTCCCAAAGTATAATAAAACAACCATTTGTTTCAAACATATCACATTGTGTTCAAAATCAAAGTAATAATAATAATAATAGTAAAATTATGTCAGCGGAAGTCTCCAAAAGCATACCAATGGATGCGATATAGTTAGGTCTCACCCTTCCCCTTGCTACCAGGGGTGGATACATGATTTCATAGTAGGTGTAGTGTAACAGCCCACATACCATGATAAAAAAATTCATTTTAAAACAAGAGTTACAGTCATTAAATTGTTTCAAAAACCATTACATATTAACATTCTCATATCATCAGAGTAACAATATCAATAAGTGTGGAAAAGAGTGAGGGGAGAATGTTGTGCCGTCACGCCAGATCCTTTCCCTTAGTACCAGAAGTACCTGAAACCATAAATACAAATTATAAGCAAAAGCTTAGTGAGTTTCCCCAAGTATCACATACCAAACATAAATATGTTAGTGTTATGGGTCAACTCATAGTCTTACAAGTAAATTCCTGCCGACGACCAAATCCTGATCTTCCATACAAGTGTCAAGGGCTAGATCCTAGTCTTTCATACATATATCGGGGCCCACATCTTGGTCTTTCATACAACTGTTAGGGCTAAATCCTGGTCTTTCATACTCATATCACAAATATATCTAGCATCCCATATCACAAATAATGGATCGGCCTTGGTGCCTTCGACCCATTGATACAATGAGAAAACTCACCTCTGCCCGCTGATAAACAATTAGATGCTCAGCTGCAGAACTGGTAGATCCCACACTAACACAAACAAATAACCCTAATCAAAATTAGGTCATAAGCCATAATTGTGGGT